GCACCAGAAGCCTCTCCCTAGCAAAAGCGCCCATTTCAATTCAAGGCGTAGCCACGATGACAAGATTCCTGCTTCGGTCCCTTCCTGGGTTTCATGGGTAGGGAGGGTTGCGGTAACTGCTGGAAACCACCTTTCTGGACCATTCCACCCACTGGGTGCCTCATCTTCTGCTAGTGCCTTCCATACACACATTCCCTTGGTAATTCTCACAGCAAACCTTTTAGGCAGACTGAAATCCCAAGGAATTTTCTATGAAGTTCTAACCTGCAAGCAGTGGTGGACTACACACTATTATTATAAATAATGAAATTGGATGTGGATACATAAGCATTCTTAAAACTATCTCTGTGCGTCACAGATGTGATAGGGACTGCTCATGGCGATAAGCAGAGCAAAGGGCTCAGTGGAAGCAAGAGAGGAATAAATAACACATCAGCAACCAGGATTGTTTGGGAAGAAAGGGCATTGAGAACACAAGTTGGAGAACTCGATTCTTGGCACCATTCCTCTGTGTTCTTGATCTTGAATTCTCCAGGAGATAATGACACTATTACTCCTTTTTTTTTTTAGATACAGTGAATTGGTTTTGGCATTTTTGTTTAAAAGTACATGGATATGTGGTGGCGTTGACCCTTAAACACTGAAGAGTCACGCTTGCCAGGCTGCCTTTAGCACAATGTGGCTATTCCATAGTATGAAATGAAATAACAAGACAATGAAGCTTAACAAGGGCCAGGGACTAGCAAATTGATGCTGCAGATGAAAGAGGTGAGAGATTACAGTATCAATAGGTTTCTCAGGTGAGATAATTAGGTAGGTCAGGAAAAATCTGGAGGAGAGTATGGGAATGAATCTGCAACTGAAGCTGAAGAATAGATTCTGTGAGAACAGAAATGATAGGACTTCTTTCAAGGAGAATCCTGCTGTGCTTTCCTCTGAATTTGCCTGTTTTGTTAGGTGCCCTGGAGTATCAACTTATGGGGACACCATGTGACAGAGTAGAATTGCCACATAGGCTTTTCTAGGTTCTAACATTCATGAGCACAAATTACCAAGCCTTTTTTCCATGAGTTTAAACTACCAACTTTTCATTTAATAGCCATTGTGCGACCAGAGTCCCTTACGCAGAATCCAGTTGACTTATTATAGGAACTACCATAAGAGAATAGCCAACCATTGTCCTAGCGACAAGGAAACAAAATCACTGCCATCCAGTCTAACTCAGAGAGCGTTCTGGTGCCTCCTGTTGAGTTGCTAACCCGAAGGCAGCAGTGCAAAGCCAGCTCCTCTGCAGGAGAAAGATGGGGTTTTCTACTCCCCTACAGGATAATAGTCTCGGAAACACACAGTTAGAATTCTACGCTGTCCTATAAGGCTTATAAATGTGACCTTTATCTCGGATATTAAGAATTGGGAGCTGTTTGTTATCAAAGCACAGTGTCCTGTGATGACTGTTAGCTTCAAGTTAGCCATTCAATCATACCCACTGCTCCATGGGAGACAGATAAAGATCCTGTAAACATCTTCAGCCTCAGAAGCCCAAGAGAGGGTCACTGGGTAGAAATTGGCTCAGTGGCTGTGGGTTTGTGTTGGATTGCCCAACATACATTGAGCGTGTCAGATTTTGAAGTATGCCAGAATTACCTGTGCAACTTGGTCCGTGCTGTGCCTCCGACGGTTCTGATTTGGACCCTGGCTAAGGCAGAGACATGCACATTTTAATTAGCTCCCCAAGTATATCGTACCCACCAGATTGCAAGAGCCAATGAATTATTCTACCTTGATTCATTCAAGTACATTGTGAAGACTGACAATAAGCACCCCCTCAATGCTGATTTTTTTTTTAATGGAAAAGTCAAGAAGCTGCTCTGTCTCTCTATTCTAAAATAGTCCCAAGCCAGAGAACAGATATAGCCTAGATTTTCATTCCCACAGTTCTTCATGAATCTAGTGGTCTTATGCATGGCACAAAAAGCCTTGGTTGATGAGGCTGAGGTTAGTAAATTGTGGTACTTCCTCTGAGAAAGTTAATTAAAACACATTGTCAGGGTATTCAATATGAGAGTATTATATCAAATAGATGCCTAATTACATACACTGAGAAATTAAGTTCTGTCAAAACCTCTATCAGTCTAGAATTAGAGTGAGGCTTTTGATCAATTGGCATTTTAGTTAGTATTTGGCATAGGAATAAGAAATTGACTGTCGATACAGAAAGTCTGACTTGACTATAATTTGTAGTGAAGTCAGACTTTCCATGTTCTAATCTTCACTATATTTTCTGTAATTCAATCTTCTAGGCTGTTGTTATGAACTCTCCCTTATCAACCCCAGTTATATTGTTTTTCCCTGCATGCCCATGAAGATGACACCATGGAAATTGTTCCAACCACAGAGCAAACTGCTGTGCATATATTTTTAATTTAGTGGACTTTTCTTGGAATAGCTGTGATAATAATGTACAGGTATCGAGTAAAAGATACATATTTTTATGAGAAAAAGCAATTACCATACAGTCAACCTGATTGTAAATTGGCGACAGAACAAATGATCAAAAACAAGTCAGTTGCAACCGTTTTGCCAAAAGAAGTACTAGACTGCCATCTACTGTTCAGAGAAATCCAACAACTTAATTGTTAACATTTAAGGTGCATTCAATGTAGGGGACCAAGGGAAGGTATGCGACTCCTTGTGGAATATTCTGATTCTGGAATAAGGACCCTGCCTTTGTGACCGCCACGGATCCTATGCAAAATATCAAACCCAACCCAGCCCACTGCTTTTGAATAAATTCTAGCTCTTAGCAACCTTCTAGAACAAGAGTCCACTACTCCACAGGGTTTCTAAGGAAGTAAATCTATATGGAAGCAGACTGACACATCTTTCATGGGCAGAGCAGCTGGTGGGTTCAAGCCACCCATGTTTGGGTTAGTAGCTGAGCACCTCATCACTGCCCCACCTGGACTCCTTACGTAGTGCCTCAGCACTAGCTTAAAGGCATTCTAACTCTTAGAAGCTCTAAGTCCTATATCCTATCTCGGCACAACAGACTACACCCACATTTCCAACCATCTGGGATGGTTGGGTTGTATATGCTTAGTGACAGACTCATGGTTCCTTTCATGAATGTGTAAGTATTTTCACACAGAGTTGAATATAAACATCTCTATATTTTTTCAACTCTGATTCTCTAACAACATCTGCAGTATGTGAAGTTTTTCTTTTTAGTCCTATTCCAGATACTTTCTATAGAAATATACATTTTAAAAAATGATTCTCTGAATATTTCTATTTCTCTCATTTCTGTCATGTATGTTCAATTTTTGTTTCATTTTTTGTTTCATTTTTCCTACTAGGATAATTATTGATGGAGCTAATCTGACCATAAATAATGTCAGCTTAGAGGACCAAGGTGCATATGCCTGTTTGGCTCAAACTTCTCTAGATAGCACTGCTGATATAGCCCACGTAACTGTCCTTGGTAAGTGCACAAAATAGTGAGAAAATGGTGAATTTATTTTCCAGGACATATTAAGTTCCATTGTTCCTATGTGATTGAATTGATGATACTTTTTCATCCCTGAATAATGAGAGTTGATTTCTTTATTTGTAAAGTGGCCCCACATTAAAATCTTCTCCTACTCTTCTCTTTTTAAAGTTTTAATTCATGCCTAATTGCTTTTTTTCTCCCCGGGTAAGTGTGCCAGTAGAATCAGTAGGTAAAGTATGCTTCCAGCAGAGAGCAAACTCGGGTGGGCTTGAGTTCCCCGATGATGGCTAAAGTGGAAGGTGAGGAAAGTCATCTCAGGGCGATGGCACGGGACTCGTGCTATAATCCAGAGACAAAGGCTGACTCCAGATAGTTCTGGAAGGGTGAGGAGGACTTTAAGGGACTTGGAACGGAATGTTTTTAATTATTATTATTTTGTAATGAAAATTGGAATTAGAAACATGTGTGTAAACTTCAGTGGTGTAACCAATGTAATCACTCCCAAATCATCAGTATTCAAACTGAGAGACCATCTGCTGGGTGGCTTTCATTTTCCATTCAATGTTTCTTCTGCAGGCAGCCTCTGACCTAAAAAGCTGCCCTGTAAGGACAGCATCAGCAAACCAGTGACCCCTAGCTGCCTTTGGGTCAGCCCATAGAGAACCCTGGGAGTGGAGGAGAGGGGGGATTGGAAAGTGACAGTGTTTGTTTGGGAACCTTCTCCCTTATAGGCTAGTGTTGTCTGTCTGTGAAAGGTTTGTGTCCCTCAGCCAGGGTGTACACACATCTGCCAAAGGTCACTGCTTCTCTCAAAGACACTGCCCCCCACATGATATTCTCCAATGTTTCTTCCACAGTGTTCTTCCTCCATCACCAACTTTTCAAGTTTGCTTTTGTTTTTTTTCTTTTCTACTACCTTGTCCATACTATTTTAATAAGGAGTAGCTTATTAAAAACCGTTTTAAATATTTCTTTCCTGACATGGTGGTGCTGCTGAGTAAGTGTTGAACAGCCATTCAAAGCCACCAAGAACTCTGAGGTAGAAAACTGAGGCTGTCTTTCCTTAAAGATTTACAGTCTGGGAAACTCTATGTAGGGTTTCCGTGGCTGGTATACTGGGTGGCATATGAGTTGCACTGCTAACTGCAAGGTCAGCAGTTTGAAAGCACCAGCTGCTCCAAGGAAGAGAGATGGGGCTTTCTACTCCTGTGAAGAGTCAGAGTCTAAGAAAATGACAAGGGCAGTTTTACCCTGCCGTATAGCATCACTCTGAGTTAAAAGAGCAGTGAGCTAAGATGGCTAATGTGCTTCTTGGGTTTTGTTGGGGTTTTATTTCTTTTTTCTTTTTTTGCCATTTTCTCCTTTAATACACTCCACTAGGAACAAGGTACTCTGTCCTTCAGCTTGTCAATTTTCCTGAACTCCTTTATCCATATATCCTGTATATGGCTAAGCCTGTTGCCATAGAGATGATTTTGACCCAGGGCAACCCCCTACATTACAGATAAGAACTACTTTATTATGTTTCCTGGCTGTAATTTTTCTGGAAGCAGTTTATCTGGCTTTTCTCCCAAGGAAACCCTTTTGGGGTTAAACCACCAACCTTTAGATTACAAGCCACTTTCACCCCCGAACTGCCTCTGCTATATATCTAGGTCATTAGCAGCAAACATTTGTGTCTTTAGTATTCTCCCTGCTCAAGTCCAAGGGTAGGTTGCTCAGTAAAGATGAAGGAAAAGGAGTGGAGTCTATGCTGAGTCTACCTCAGAAAGTAGATTAAAAAAAATGATAAAAGGTAGAGAATGATCTCCTTAAGTGAAGCTGAGGTAGTTAGTTTATTGTGCCTACCTGGTCAATAGACAAAAGGGGGGTTAATTGAAGGACGGAGAGATAAATAAATGGCTCAGTGAGCCTCACTTTTCTAGTTCTCTGATCTCTTCCTTTGTGATGGTCAGACCAGGGTGCGGCTGCCTTAGCCAGTTCCCTGCTTCAGCTGGCAAGGCTCACTTCCTGCAAGATATCCCTGAGGAGAAGCCACATGGACCTACCCTGATGCAGCTCTGGGTGCTGGAGCAGCCATGTGGAGCACTGAGATGCTTACACATTCACTGACTCAGCTTTCCTCCTGCAGTCAGCATCATTGTGTCTGTTTTGTGAGATCGAGGAGGACTTTGTAGATCAGTGTCGGACGTAGGGTTAATGTTGGACTTGTGGGCTTGGGCACCACTGGGTTGGGATGTTTTCTTGATGTGCACTTAACCTTTGTATAAAACTCTCTCTTATACATGAGTTTCTGTGGATTTGTTTCTCTAAAGTACCCAGATCAACACTGAAGCAAATGGCCACCATATGGGGCTCTCCCCAGAAAGAAGAGCAATTTACTGCTGTGCAGAAATTTTAGACTTTGCAAAAAAAGGATGGTACATTTTAGTAGGCTGTTTGCCCACAAAGAATTTAAGTTTTCCAGAGTTTTACAAGAACAATGATTTAACTCTCTAGCACTTATTCCAACCAGATAAAGTAGATGATCTTCTGGTAAATTCAAATTTATCCCAGGCACCAGGTGTACAAGCATAAGTACTGATATCCATGGGCGCTGTCTCCATGTATTTTGAGCAGCAGCAAGCAGCAAAGGGATTGGACTCTCTCACAAGTGCTGGCCTTCCATTATGCTTCCATTTTTTAAAATCATTTAATTTTGGCAAACTTTAAATTAGTGTTATGATTAAGGAGTGCTGGTGGCAGTGTGGGTTATGTGTCCAGCCACTAAACTCAAGGTCAGTAGATGCTTGGTAGGAGAAAGATGAGGCTGTGTGCTCCAGTAAAAAAGCTATGCCCTCAGAAACCATGTACAACAGTTCTACTTTCACCTACAGAGTCAGGATGAATTAGAATCAACTGGCAATGGGTGAGTATTGGGTATTGGCCATATCTATATAATGTTTATGTAAGAAGTAATTACCAATTTTTTGGAATAAAAAAGAATATTGTATAAAATAAACAAAATTCCCTTAGTCCCTTTCTAATATGTTAGGTCAATCCTTGGTTTAAAAATACATCTTAAGAACTGATACATATTACCATGTATAGATTCTAAAATAACTTGCTTTATTCCTAAAGGCCAATTTTTAAAGGCATATGCTTGACCTATTTCAAATTAATGTTACATCAAACGTTTTCACATGGGCTTCCACTGACAGTGTGTTAGTCTGGGTAGACTACAGAAACAAATCTAGGTAGACTCATATGTGTAAAAGAGAGAGTTTTAAGCACAAGAGCAATCATACATTAAGAAAACATCCCAGCCTAGTTCAAGTCAAGTCCATAAATTCAATATTAGCCCACATGTCCAATACCAATGTATAAAGTCCTCTTCAGTTTCATGCAACACATGCAATGACGCCAAATGCAGGAAGATGGCAGACCAGTGGGTGAAAAGTTTTGTGGGTCCAGTGGTGGTAGAAGCATCTCAGCACTGGGGTGGGTCTCCACATGGCTCCTCCAGCTCTGGGCTCTGGCTGCATCAGTGTGGCTCCATCAGGCTCATCATCAGTAATGTCTCACAGGGAGTGAGTGTGTGTCCCACCCGCAACAAGCTAGTTATCTCCTTAGTGCCTCCAACTGAGGTCATCAAGTTGGAACCTGATTGACAGGCTAAACTACACCCTTTCACTCTTAAGTCTCATATTGTCAACAGATTACGTAACTTCCACAGACAATATAGGTTTTTTTAAGTGTTTAGTTACAACTTCATCCAGCCTAGCTCTATTTAATTTTTATGTCAGAAGGATCAGATTTTTAATTTTATATGCAACGTATTGTTTGCTTCAATCACCTCTAGATATGAGTGGACTTTTATTATGTGCTGAAGAGAAACCTAAATTTCAGGACTCAGCAATTCCAAATTTTGTTGATTAAAATAATATATTTAACTTATTTTAACACTGTCAAGAGCTATGTTTTGAAAAAGAAACATTTTCCCTTCTGGATGGTGGTAGGATATCCATGAATATGCATACATACATGTGTGTATGTGTGTGTTGGAGTCCTGGTGGTGTAGTGGTTAGGAGTTAGGCTGTGATCCACATGGTCATCAGTTCAAAACCACCAGCAGGTCCTCAGGAGTAAGATTGGATTTTCTACTTCCACAAAGAGTTACAGTGTCAGAAATCCACGGTGGTTCACTATGAGTCAACATTGATTCATTGACAAGATGGTAATGAGTTGGGTTTGGGGTGCATATATATGTAGATTTGACAGAAGGTGCGTATACATTATATTTATTTTTGTTGAAATTATATCCATGAATGTGGTAGTTCATACAGTGCACAAGTAGGTGGCCATGAAGGTCAGGACCATAGTCTCAGGGGCTATCAAGGTCAATTGGCATAGCATAGGTCACAAAGACAATGTTCCACATCCTAATTTGGTGAGTACTTAAAAGCTCACAAGCAAACATCTAAGGTACAACTATTGATCTCTCATTAGTCAGAGAATACAAGAATGTCAGAAATTGAAATACACTTGAAACCAATTTAGTCAAGAGGACTAATGGACCGTGCAAGCATCATACTCCACAACCCTGACACCAGAAGAATTAGAAGTTGGTGCCCAGTCACCATTAAAAATTGCTTTTAAAGGTGTCATATTACAAGGTCCTGGATAGTGTGGGAGAGAAACATGGAACAGAATTCAAACATCATAGAAGTGACCAAGCTTTGTGTCACTATTCAGATGGAGGCTTCTGTTCTTCAGGTCTCAAACCGAACTCACCCGCACGTTAGCATAATCAATCATTTATGATCAAAAGGACATTTGGCCAAGCACAAAGTCCAGAGGTTTGGCAAAGAAGGAATGGAAACTGGAGACACAGGGCAGAAAGGGGATAAGCCATGATACTTTAAGGGGATCAGAATGTGTGTGAGATGAGGAATTAAAAACTATTATTCATTCTGTGAAGGCTCACCTAATTCACAACAGGAAGTGAAAAGAAAAGCATTCCCTTATGAAATGAAAACAGTGTTTGTTGTTTATGAAGGCAAATGTCTAGTTATTGGCAAAGAGGCAGCAGGAAGAGCACACATGGTTTCCCACTTGAGGAAGAAAGAGCCCCCGAAAAGCCACATTAAATAACGTCTTCATTGCCTTCACTCCGAACATATCACTGTCCTAGAACACGGGAGAGAATGCGAAGCAAAACGTGAAACTAAGAACCATTAGACACAAGATTTCATTTTACTGTTGCTTTTATTGTATAAGTGCCATGAATTTTCCTGTACTCTTACACTATACTCTAACAAAAATGTGTCATTTCTTATTCATATTTCTAGCTTTAGTCACAACGTTTATCAATGCCAAATCTTCCTTTTCACAAAAATATTGTCTTCCTGCTCTCTGTTCAGAACTCAAAGCCAAGAGAACACCAGGGTCGATAGAATATGTTGAGAATTCATTGTTATAAATTAAAATAAAAATCCAAAGCAGTTGGATAAAAATAGACTTAACTCATTTTCTCTTCTTTTCTTACAACCATAGAACCTCATTTTAATTTCTTTAGTATGATAAATATATGCATGATAAAAGTGATTGTATTTTCATTTATTAAGTCACAAAACATTCACATGTAAACCACTGTGGGTAATGCAAATGTTAATAAAACCTGGTCCCTACTCTGGGAGATCTGCACAGTCATATACGGGCAGTGAAATAGATGATGAGCATGAGAGCTAGAAGGAAGGAAGTGGTCCATTTGGAATAAAGCATGATTCTCAAAAGTGAATGCACAGAGTCATCACCTAGAAGATTGTTCAGAAAGGTAGGTTCCTGAACATCACTTACTTAGTAAACCAGGGCCTCGAAATCATCAATTTTAATGACTTTCCCAAAAGAACATTTGTGCCTGTGGTCATCAATAGCTTTTTGAGAACTTTTTGTGTAAGCAGAGAAAGATAATACATTCAACTAGCAGGTAGATGGGGGTTGGGGGGAGGAATTCATTTGAAATAGAACCTAAAGGACTGGTGAGATGTGGATAACTAAGAGTGGAGATATGGGTTCAGAGAGGGGAGATGGTTGGCAACATGCCTAAGTGAAGAAATTGGGGAAACAAAGGCAATGATACACATTTTCCGTACCTTCATCTCTCATTGTTTAGATGTGCCAGATCCACCAGAAAACCTTCTCTTATCTGAAAGACAGAACAGAAGTGTGCGGCTCACTTGGGAAGCTGGTGATGACCACAATAGCAACGTCAATGGTACGGAAGTTTTGAGTTGTCAATTATATTAACATTATAGACTCAAAATGAATATTACAACCATTTTAATGTATTACATTTTTCAATTAACCCATTAACGTCAAATTATATATAGAAATCGTTAAGTATTGTAAATACACTCAACAGGCTCTAATGTGTTTTTCCCCCCCATTTTTTAATGCCAGAGTATATTGTAGAATTTGAAGGAAACAAAGAGGAACCAGGAAGGTGGGAGGTACTGACTCGAGTCCAAGGCAAAGAAACAACAGCCATGTTGCCTTTGGCTCCATATGTGAGATACCAGTTCAGGGTCATCGCTGTGAATGAAGTGGGCAGAAGTCCACCCAGCCCACCATCAGACCATCACGAAACACCGCCCGCCGGTATGTCGATTCTCGTCTCAGTCCTTAACAAATATTAAAGTGTCGCTCCATCTTTGAATGTCTGAAAAATATTAAAAGATTGAAAGAGGTAAATTAATAACACAAGATATTTAAAGTCTACTAGTCTTATGATTGTTGCATAAATGTTGTTAAATATCAGGTAATTGGAGGTGAAATTATGGATAAGAATTACTCTAAATAATTTCAATAGCTAACATGTTTAAGTTAGATATCATGAAATGGAAGCTCAATGTAGGGAATGTTGAGGATTTACTTTTGAGGGGATAATTTTTTTTAAGTTTTTTTGTTTGTTTTTTAAATCACTTTATTGGGGGCCCTTACAGCTCTTATCACAATTCATACATAAATCCATTTTGTCAAACACATCTGTACATATGTTGTCCTAATCTTTTTCAAAACATTTTCTTTCTACTTGAGCCCCTGGCATCAGCTCCTCATTTTGCCCCCTCCCTTCCCCATGCCCCTTGATAATTTATAAATTATTCTTCTTGCATGGTGTTTTTTTCATGTCTTACACTGACTGCTGCCTAATTTCACCTACTTTTCTACTGTTTTTCCCCCCTAGCATGGGGGCCATACATTGATCATTGTGATTGCTTCCCCCTGACACCCTCCCCCAATCCTTACCCTCCTAGTATCGCTGCTCCCCTTATTGGTCTTGAGGTGTTTATCTGTTCTGGATTCCATGTGTTGTGAGCTCTTATCTGTACTAGTATACATGTTCTGAACCAGCCATATTTGTAAGACAGAGGCGGGGTCATGGTAGGAAACACTAAAGAACTAGAGGAAGGTTGTGTGTTTCATCAGTGTTATTCTGTACCCTGACTGACTCTTCTCTTCCTTGTGGCCATTTTGACAGGGGGGTATCCAACTGACTACTGATGGGCTTTAGGTCTCCACTCTGCTCTCCCCCTCATTCACATTGATATGCTTTTTGTTTGTTTTGTTTTGGGTCTTTGATGCCTGATATCTGATCCCATTGACACCACATGATCATGCAGGCTGATGTGCTTCTTCCATGTGGACGTTGTTGCTTCTCAGCTAGATGGTAGCTTGTTTATCTTCAAGCCTTTAAGACCCCAGATGCTATATCTTTTGATAACCAGACACCATCAGCTTTCTTCACCACATTTACTTATGCACCCATTTTGTCTTCAGCAATTGTGTCAAGGATGGTGAACATCACAGAGCCGTGTTAGTAGAACAAATTGTTATTGCATTGAAGGAGTACTTGAGCGGAGGCCCATTGTCCACCTGCTACTGTAATACTTTATAAATAAATATATGTACATATCTCTATGTAGGCTAAATGTTTTGACTCATTATGGTCACCTTGTTAAATTTTAATTTAACCGACATCATTAATTTTTATATACTTACTGTATCTTTTGTATCTCAATATCTATTTATTTACCAGATTTTTAAAAATCATTTGAAGGATAAAAGCACTAAAATTGGTTTTATTAAATTGACCTTAGCCATCATGTTTTTATAACACAGATTCACTGGAATATAATGACTGCATTATTAACTATATTGAACAGTTGCCCTCGAGTTGACTCTTGCAACTATGGTGTATCTTGAGAAGAAGAATCCACAGGAGGAGTTTTCAGTGACTGATACAAACCTCCTGCCCTGAATTAAATCACCAAGCTTTTCTTTTAAGTTGCCTCTCAGTGCACTTGACTTTCAACACATCAGCTGACCCAGGCTCAGCAATAATTTACACCACCCTAGGATTGTATGGCTATATTCATGGTATTTGTTATTTAGCATCACTGAAGTTAGTTATTCACATTTATGAGCAATATTGAACTTTAAATGCTTAGAGGAAAATACTCCCAAAATATTTTACCAACACAAATGCCAATAGAGAAAAAAGTAATTTCTTTATTTACAGTGATTAAGAAAACACGTTTTATAAAAAGAATTGTTTTTATTCTTCACACACCATCTTGCTAGCCAACATTTCACATTATGACCTTAGTAAGCATTCTACTATTCAACCATTTTGCACATTTAGAATGTATATCTGAGTGCAAGGCAAATATCATGGTGCCTGCATGACTGAGATCATGTTTCAGCTTATCTGGGATATGATCCTCAGTGGCTTGGTACATATATAATTTGGCGGTTATATAATGATGTAATCATCTTCTATTTTGTGATTTGATGTGGTCGCCCTGCATTTTCATATAATGTCAAGTTTCTTATTATCATGTCATCTCATAAGCCTCCCCATGTCATTAAGTATGAAGTGGGTGTGTCTATATGCTTACAGACATATACACACACCTACTCTTTACTTATTGGGCCACCCCAAGAATAGTACTTTGAATACTACTTTACTCTTTTAAATAAAACATATATTTATAATGTTTAAACCTATTTTTAGGTCCCAGATCAGATATAGATTAATCAAATATTATTTTAATTATTTAAATCCATTTGGGGTGGTGGGATGGAACCAGATGACTTACATACATATAGCCATATAATGTGAAAATAATTTTAATGCTTTAAATTTTTCAGCTCCAGA